TTTTTTTTCGTTTTATAAGCGGTGGATCTGGACAGAAGAATATTTCATCAAAACGCTTTTTGGCTAAAGGTGGGCAGGTAACTGAAGGTGTCACAGTTGTGGAGATACCCTCAATCTATTACTGGTTGCCAGTTGAGGAGACCAATTTTACCGTTGGCATTGTGGTAGCAGTTGGCGACAAGGACGAAACACTAGGAATTCAAGCTATTCCTTCAGGTAAATAATATTAAGCACGATCCTGGTTAAAGTCAGAATAAGCAGAGTTCTTAAATGGTATTTAATTATTTACCTTTACTCTATTATGGCTTGTATTTGTAGCCGATATAACGCGTCCTCTGATTGGGTAATTCAAGGCATTATTCTGCCATAATGCCCGCAGGCTGATTACGGGCTTCCAAAGGCAAGGCAAACAGCCATATGATAAACAGCTTGTTAACCTTGAACATTCGGTCCGGGACAATCTCAAACTTCGGCCTTGCCGTATCGACCTCCCTATCGCCCGGTCAATACGGCAATGTCTCGGTTTGAGACCTCTCTCTTGGTTAATAGGTATTTGGTAATGATTCGTTTACTCTTGCGAAGTAAAAAGATTCTTTAACGCAGTTTTCACCCAGAAATAATATCATGCTACCATAGGTTGATACAACATCAATGGAATCGAATGCACGAATTGAATGAAAGGAAATTTCCCTACATCCTCCACGACTCTAAGAGTATTGAAGCCCCCTTGAAAAGAGTGGCAACAATGCATGTTGTGATCGCATAACGTGGGAGTTACGTCAGGATTTCCAAAATTCGTCGTCTTAAATTGCTTCATTTTTACACGTGGCTTCAGAAAACCACCAAAGAAACCCCTGAAAATTCTGAAAACTCGAAAACTGTCTTACATAATCAAAACTAACAAAAGGATGCTACTTTCGATATAAAACGAAAAAGTTACTGCGGGCAATGAATTGTTATCTTAAGTGAAATTCGAAATGCTTGTAAAAGTATGTTTGTAAAAATAAAGCTGCCACAGCAACCCTATTTTAGTAAAAAAAGACAGGCCATTTTTGTTCTAAAGGTAATTGTATTCGAGGACTGTGGATACAAAGTTGTCGAAATATATAGATCTTGACACGTTGTAACTAGCTAGTTGTAATGGGACATAATTTCCCAGATCGTTTTCACAAACTCAACTAACTTAATCTTTTTTTTTTTATTTTTTCACTGAATTCCACAGGCTTCAAGTTCTTGTATCATCGCTTGGACTTGATCAAACCTGATGATTCTTGTGTTCACTTTTCAAGATATGCTGCAAACGGTCAATAGTAAATAATGTTAGCATTATTACAATTATAATTAGTAAATGCAGCTCATAAGATGACTTGAGCAATTTAGGTAAATATAACCTTACATATGGCTGGGGTGCCTGAAATTTAAATTGATCAGTCAGGATTCAGCAGGCGGGAAAAACTTTACTGTCCTGACGTCAACTGATGTAAGTTAACAGGAAACGCATTGAAATCAAGCAACTTTTCTCACTGGAGATGGCATTAAATATTGACGAGAAGAGTTTGCAATTCCAAAAACCATATCAGTTTGTAAAAAATATATATGTATAAATCAGTTTGTAAAAAGTGAAAAATTGAAACATTTTGTGCCTGCGCATGCAAGCTTCTAATTTGGCGCCAAAAATGGGTCGCCGGCGAGCGACAGGCAACTCGCTCGTAGTTCGTCGAGTATCGCCAGGTAGGATAATAGTTGTGTTCTTGTGAACAAAATATGCTGTTCCTCGTCAGACCTGGAATACTCAAGTATCAACTATCAGAAGAGGCCAAAGCAACTTTAGAATTGTCTTTATTTTGTTCGCTGCGCGCGAAGAAGGCCTTTTGGTAGGACAGCTCAGTTTTGACTGCCGTTCGCAGTTCGGGTGCAGCCCCAGTATGCAAGGAAAGTCTACATACGAACCAAGTGGCCCATCAGGCCGGAGCTTATCGCGGTTTCTAAAACACGAAGCGACTAGGAGTATTTCTACTCCTCACTGGATTGGATGCTAGTCGCATCGCAATATTTTAACATTACGAGAACAAGTTTGACGTAACTGCGACCAAAACTGTGGTTCGCGTCATAGTTTTATATTTTATTATGTATCGTTTGCCTATCGCATTCTGCTTTAATTAACAGAATGAAAAGGAGCAGTACTTCGTGCGTAGTAAAATAGAGTGTTACCCTTTTTACCGTAAATGCCATAAAAACTCACGTCTCTCTTTTTATTGCTACTTCGTGGCATCAGTTTAGTACTCTTAATGATGCTTGATTTGAAATAAGTCCTTATCGTCTCTAATAAACCCCCTTATGCGTAACGCTCCCCCACCTCTGTATTTTTGTAGTTTAAAGAGAATTCTCTTCAGTAATTAGGAACTGTTATTACAGATTCAACTGTGGTGAAGTTTGGCGCAGAAGCGTTCAAAGATCCATATACCTACCTTAGTTTAGATGAGACAGTCCCTGAAATAAAAGCTTATAGAAGATTTATGACAAGTACACGCTCGCCAAACCCCGGCTTCAAAGAAGGCATTCGGGACACAGTTATAGCCACGCGAAAGGTGGAAGATATTTGGTTTCGTGAAAAGATGGATTACACGAAGTATCTGGTTTGGAGATATATTGGTACTGCCAATGGTGTGTTCAGAATGACGCCAGGGACCTCGCTGGCGAAATCGTACGACCCAAGGAAAAGACCATGGTAAGTATCTGCCTGTGAAGTGCCAACTAAATGACGCACACTTTTCATATGAGCCAGGTAACCCGGCTGGCTCGATTTCCGGGACAAAGTTAACTTTGTTGTTGCTCATATGGGATTATCATTATTATCATCATCATTATTATTATTATTATTATTACAATACAAACATTACTTACAGTTCATTTTTTTAATACTACATTACTCGCGATAACTTTACGATTAACGCTACATTACTTTCATACTACATCAAATACAATTCTAAATACTACATTGCCACATCACTACGTAACTACATTACTACATTTCTGCATTACTATATTGCTACGTTACTACATTACTACATTACTTCATGACTATATGACTACATGACTACATGACTACATGACTACATGATTACATGACTACATGACTACATGACTACATGACTACGTGACTGCCTGACTACATGACTACATGACTACATGAATACATGGATACATTATTTCATTACTCCATTACTCCATTACTACATTACTACATTACTACATTACTACATTACTACATTACTACATTACTACATTACTACATTACTACATTACTACATTACTACATTACTACAT